TGGTTGTCTGTAAACAGAGATATAGACTTATAATTCTAATAAGGGTAATGGTGTGGATCCATGGTACAAAGAAAACAAGGTATGATCGATAGCGGCTCCAATTTCGTTAAGTTTGCGCATACCACCTGTGACGTCATACGCCATACAAAAAAATATCCATATTGTCCAATTGCCACTAATAAAAAGAGACCTAAAATAGGGAAGAATTAGGACATAACCCCAAAAGTTATGTTGTGGCGGATCGATATCGACAATCCCATCCATACTAGGGCTGTGCATAGAATCCCGAGCGAAGTCTATCGGTGCCAAGAAGAAAAGAAGAAGAAGAGCGGCATCGGCTGACATTCAATTCTGTAAAACCATAGTTCTGGCTCAGCTTTCCAGAATTCGGGGGGTTTGAAACTGACTCTGCACAGTTCATTTATTGGTTGGTTGTTTGTTGATTGATTGGAATTGTTTGTTTGAGTAGTGCTATTTCTGATTGTTTGTTTGCATGTTTGGTTGGTTGGTGCTGATTGTAATTTCAAGCTTCTTGGATCACGTCGGGGTCACCAATATGGTTGTTCTGGGTGTGAATATGATAACGAAATCAGCTGGGTTTACTGTTTAGATTTTTCACAACTCAAAGTCCATAAAATAAAGGGACGTGTTCAATCTGCTCTTTAATTACACAACTAAATAATTATTCTACAATAAAATAATTATTGAAAAACACGTTATGTCTTATTTGTCAGCCGATGCCGCTCTTCTTCTTCTTTTCTTCTTGGCACCGATAGACTTCGCTCGGGATTCTATGCACAGCCCTAGCATGGATGGGATTGTCGATATCGATCCGCCACAATGTCAAATCATCGTGCTTGACATTTGAAAAATTATTTTGACATTTATTGTGACATCTGTTTGACAATTTGAAATTGGCGCGCAGAGCTTGCCGACCAATGGTGCCGTTTATCACCTGTGACGTAATGACCAACCTGCGCAATATCATACCTTGTATTCTTTGTACCATGGTGTGGAAACGGTGGCTGACCTTGAAACGAGTTTCTGCTGCATATAGCCACAGACACTACGCATGCGCACATCTTCGATGTTGCCAGATTGTAAGTTATTTTGGAATTATTTTCAGTAGAAAACAAATATGTGCTTTTCAGTGTTTTTTGTCAATATATACCGTATGATCGAAAAAACGGCGTCCAGTTGGCTGGGAAATGACGATTGAGGACATTCCATATAAAATGACAGCGATCTTCATTTCATAGTCATCGCTGACGCTATTTTTTTTTTCAATCAGTACGCGCGTATTATTTATATCAAGAATTTATATATTATTTTAATATTTCGCACAACACGTGAACGCTTATTATGTATTTTCATAGTCAATAAAATTAAATAGAAATGAAACTCTAGATTCCTATAATTAATCTAATTACTCTAGATTATTATGCTACGTTTAAAAAGGGCTTTATTAAAAATTCGGGAAATTATATGTCCAAGTTCTTCCTTTTTTTTAATTTTTAAATGCTGTAGCTCCATGTCATGTTCATAATAGGTTTTCTGCTACTTTAATATTTCTCTATTCTTACACCTAATTTATGTGATTTTCTTAGCTATAATATGATTTATAAACCATATTTTTCCTAATGGCAGGATGGAATAGGATATGCAAAATTAAGATATTTTAACATTTATTTTCCAGACAAAGCATAATATAGTATTAAGATTAAGACATAATAAATATTATAAGAAAGATCTTAATATAAATTACAAACTAAGTCTTAATTTGGTCTTGTATAAACACAGGTATAAAACTAATAAGATCAAAACTCAACCTTCACCATATTGTCAAGATTTGGCATTATAGGAAATATAGGAAACAAGAAATTACAGTAAATTAAGAAAAGAATATCAAAGTACACGATATTAAATACTGTAATGTATTCTACGACACAAACCATCTCCCTTCTAAAGAGAAAAAGATAAAACATATATAAAGCTTATTTTAGTCTTATCACCACACTTCGATAAAATATATGTCTAAAATTGCTATTAATCCATTAACTTGATATTTTTAAGAAATTATCATGGAAATTATGATACAAACATTATAATCAAAGTATATTATATTAGTAACATTATAGCACAGATAACACATAATCTGATTATGTGTTATCTGTGATTATAGATAAAATGTTACCTCTATCTCCCATTGACGTGTATTGTTCTATAAGACTCGTCATGGTAGTACTTCAATACATCAATATATATAATCAAAACTATTGTTGCTGTAAATAACTAGAAATTAAATAACTTGAAAGAAATAAAATAATTCTAATAAGTTTAAAACCATTAAGAAAAAATCAGTAAATGATAATTTTGAATTCTAATGTAAATATATAAATAAATGTTTTATTATTATTACAATTTTTTATATTCAGCTTTATATATCATTCCTTAATTTTGGATATCAAGATAAATCTGAAATTATAAAATTAATTATAGAATTTGTATTATTATTGATTAACACTCAAAAAAAAATTTCAACTGCAAATAATTCGAAAATAAACTGCAATTTGGCAAACTCGACGATGTGCGCTTGCGTAGTATCGATGATCAAATGCAGCAAATATGGGCTTCAAGGTCAGCCACCGGATCCACACCTTTACCCGAAATTTTGTTAAATAGCTATTAATTATTAATTTTATTTGGTAATGGTGTGGATCCGGTGGCTGACCTTGAAACGAGTTTTTGCTGCATATAGTCACAGATACTACGCATGCGCACATCTTCGATGTTGCCAGATTGCGAGTTATTTTGGACTTATTTTCAGTAGAAAACAAATATGTGCTTTTCGGTGTTTTTTTGTCAATATATACCGTATGATCGAAAAAACGGCGTCCAGTTGGCTGGGAAATGACGATTGAGGACATTTCCATAAAATGATAGCGATCTTCATTTCAGAGTCATTGCTGACGCTATTTTTTTTTCAGTCATAGTACGCGGTATATTATTTTAATATTTTGCACAACACGTGAACGCTTATTATGTATTTTCATAGTCAATAAAATTATATAGAAATAAAACTCTAGATTCCTATCTAGATTATTATGCTACGTTTAAAAAGTGCTTTATTAAAAATGTGTCCAAGTTTTTTCTTTTTTTTTTAATTTTTAAATGTTGTAGCTTGACATGTTCATAATAGATTTTTTTTAACGTTCCATCAAAACTACGGAGGCCTTAAAAGGCCTTTTAGCCTCCGTAATTAAAATTGTAGAATCGGCTTCAGCAACATTAACAGTTACCTTGTTTAATTCTGCTTGTACATAATATATTGCATTAATTTTTCTGCTACATTAAGATTTCTCTATTCTTACACCTAATTTATGTGATTTTCTTAGCATATATGATTTATAAACCATATTTTTCCTAATGGAAGGATGAATAGGATATGCAAAATTAAGATATTTTAACATTTTTTTTCCAGACCAAGCATAATATAGTATTAAGATGAAGACATAACAAATATTATAAGAAAGACTTAATATAAATCACAAACTAAGTCTTAATTGTCTTGTATTTCTATTATTATTATTATTCTTATAAAACTAATAAGATCAAAACTCAAATCTTCACCATAGCCAAGTCAAGATTTGGCATTATAGGAAACAAGAAATTACAGTAAATTAAGAAAAAGAATATCAAAGTACACGATATTAAATACTGTAATGTATTCACGATACAAACCATCTTCCTTCTAAAAAGAAAAAGATAAAACATAAAAGCTTATTTTAAATCTTATCAACAGGGCGGATATGGTGAATTTATTTTAGGGGGGCCAAAATGAAAGCAAATATGGTTTTTAGGGCGCCATTTTAACACACAGTTTTTCCAATATTTTACATACCATAGACTTTAGTCTGGCCCGGCCTCTGTATCCGCCACTGCTTATCAACACACTCTTCGATAAAATCCAATTAACTTGATATTTTTAAGAAATTATGATAAAAATATTAATTATAATCAAAGTATATTATATTAGTAACATTATATGGGTCAGGGTAAAATGTTACCTCTATCTCCGATTGACGTTTATTGTTCTATAATAAGACCTGTCATGGTAGTACTTCAAAACATCAATACATATAATCAAAACTATTATTGCCTGTAACAATCTTAGAAATTAAATAACTTGAATGAAAAGAAATAAAATAATTTCTAATAAGTTTAAACCATTAAGAAAAAATCCGTAAATGATAAAATCCGTAAATGATAAATTTTAAATTCTAATGTAAATATATAAATAAATGTTATTATTATTACAATTTTATATATTCATAATACTTTCATTTCACAATCTTCATTATTCTTCTTACCTTAATTTTGGATATCAAGATAAATCTGAAATTATAAAATTAATTATAGAATTTGTATTATTATTGATTAACACGCAAAAAAAAAAATTCAACTGTAAATAATTCGAAAATAAACTGCAATTTGGCAACATCGACGATGTGCGTTTGCGTAGTATCGATGATCAAAAGCAGCAAATATGGGCTTCAAGGTCAGCCACCGGATCCACACCTTTACCAAATATATAAATAAAATGTTATTATTATTACAATTTGATATACCTACTCATAATACTTTCATTTCACAATCTTCATTATCCTTCTTACCTTAATTTTGGATATCAAGATAAATCTAAAATTATAATATTAATTATAGAATTTGTATTATTACTGGTTAACACTCAAAAAAAAAATTTCAACTGCAAATAATTGGAAAATAAACTGCAATTTGGCAACATCGACGATGTGCGCTTGCGTAGTATCGATGATCAAATGCAGCATATATGGGCTTCAAGGTCAGCCACCGGATCCACACGCTTTTTAAATAATATATATTTGTAATATATGATGTAAGGTAGAGAGTATGCCCCAGAGCTTTGAATAAGAAGACCCGAGAGGTTTACCCATTAAGAAGGCCCATTACTAATTTTAAATATAACCTCAAAAACTCCCAAATATTTTGTTTATATGTCAAAATATTGTCAAAAATAATTTAAAATTTTGAATTTTCATTAAGAAAATTAAAAAATAGAGCCAATCTCTGATTAAAATGACAAATGCTGAAGATGACTGGTGCGTGGAATGTTCTGATGAGGAGTTTAAAGATTGCCAAGATCCTTGGGAACCCCAACCCGAAGAAATAGATCGAATTTACAGTCAACTTGCACAGGGAAAAATTCCAGAACTCAAATGGAAATGCCCAGGATATCGAACGCCTTCTCCAGAAATTAAAGACGAACCAAAAGAAGAGAACGATATAAAAAAGTAGCCTGTTTTCATATCTGTTCAAGGATTTCTTGTAAATTTCTGTGTTTTAGGGAAGAACAAGACGATTTTGATTTTATGGATGAAATGACCTCGCCACGCCTTAAAATAAGAAATAAAGGAGAAGAAACGCTGAAAGGCAGCGCAAAGAAGAAAACTACGTCCTTAGATGGTGTAATAAATAATATGAGAAGGCACCACTTGCTTCCAGCCACTACAAAATGAGATACTCTACATGTGTTGAAATGAAAATTTATTTCTTAACATTTAAGTCTATATTCTCAAAATTGCATTAAGATCACAATATGTAGAGGTTAAAATTAAGATTCGTACATGTTACAAAACGAGTAAGAAAATTGTAACGGCATAAATTCATATGAATTATCTCTATATAAGCGTATTTTAATAATACTTGAATTTACTTTGAAGTTACATAGATAACTAAACTTCATTTGACATGCCTGTATTCTTTCTATACTTATTAATTCATTAGTGTTTGTACTCATCAGAAATCTGTACTGAATTGTTTAAAAGAGAATTAAATATCTTACTATCCATAAAATCAATTTTATCACTAAATTCCTAGCACACTATCTCTGAGGGGCTGGCTTTGGCTTAGGCATCTTTCCTAACAATCCTTGTATCTCCTTTTTTTCATCGTACGACTTCCACAAATCTAATAAATTTATAATATATCTAGCAATTTCCTGAATTTTTTCCATGTCCACATTTAACTCAGCAAACCACAACTTGTTATCCTTTTGTAAGATGACACAAGCTATTTGTAGACAGCCTATTGCAATCTGATAAGGTGGATAGAGTAAACACACATCAGTTCTTAAGGAATCATTGATTATTCGCCATGATAATGTTAAAAGTTGTTCTTCGTGTCCTATATCCTGAACTAGTTGTAGTAGAGGCCTATATGGCTGGTAAACGATCAAGCAACAATCGAGATTTTCCAGTAAGTAAAATTCACATTCTAAAATATGATTCGTACGATATGGAAATTCTTGATTGTAAGCATAACCAAACTTATTTTTAACTAAAATAAATCAAGTTAATTTCTATAATATTAAAGATAAAAAAATAAACTTACTGACTGTTTGACAAGTGGATATTAACCTAGTATTAGAAATAACACCAAACTCTTCTACTTTAGAAGCTAAAAATATACAGGTGGGTGCTAACAATAGAGGATCAATACATTTTAAAGAGTTTATTGCGTAAAACCGTTTAAAATATACTGTAGCAGTCGCGATAACTTGCTGGCGTGATTTTAACTGTTCCCCCAGTGTCTGGATTACTAAAAACAGGAGTATTTAACGTAAATACTATGTAAGAGACTTGTAAATTTACCGCTCGCGAAAAATATAAATATTTTCTGATATTCTTCTTCGGTGAGAATAGCCAAGTCGTGTTGTCGTTCTCTGACTAGATCTTGTTTGTCCAAGATCCACTGTTGACTAAAATTTATATTTATAAAAATGGGGACATTTAAAAAGAGTGTAGCAAAAATACAAATTTACTTACTTGTGAGAACTTTGCCAAAAATTACCAGCCATTATAGGATAGAAACTAGAAAAAATACGTGATTTATTTTAACAATAAAATAATTAAAAGATGCGAAAGAATTTGTTTTTATTGAATTTTTAATACAAATACAAATACAAAATTACAAAAACCGCTTCCACATAACCTAAAATATTTGACTTTGACAGTTTTGCCATAAAATTGGGATGATAAAAAACAAAGATTATTTTCTATGGGAGTTAACCTAATTTATACAACATAAATGGCTATATAAAATACATATATTAAACGATAATTCTTCTTATTAATCCTCTTTATAGTTTAAAAAATTAATTGAATTTAATAGATATAAATTATAATGAATTCCAAAAAGCCCCTTGAACTTTTTCTAACTCCCAGAGTTTTTTATGCTCTGAAGCGAATGACCTGTCCTTGAAAGCACAGCCTTTCTTGATTTCTGTTTATTTATCAACCGAACCGATAAACGCAACGAACGCAACTTCCTAAAGTTAAAAATAGTACATTTTTAACAGATTTTAATGCTATTCGAACCATTATTCGAACCGATGTTAAAATTTAAATTACAAACTACTAGAAATAATCGTCCGAGTTTATTGCAAAGATGACCAGGATACGCTGGCAATCGCGTAAAACATTCGGAATTCTTTTGGGAGTTTTGATTTTATATTTTACGATAAGAGTTAGAAAATATGAACACAAAACATCGGTTTCGCTCAACGTTCATCCGAACGAAGCTTGGGAGTTCGTGGCTGATTTTAGTAATATGAAATATTTAAATCCAACCATGTAAGTATCCATATATTTTTAAATAATTTGAGTTGTGTTGTAAATAATATATTTCACTTCATAAAAATGCTTTATTAAAATATTATCACGTTTTATGTGGGCGTTACATATACAGGGTGGTCCAGAGTATTTCAGAAAAGCTCTCTACATGGTGTTCGAAAAATGCACAATGCCAATGATTACTGATTTTTTTGTCATATTTTTGGATGAGGAATGTATACAAGATATACAAGATACTTAGAACTTATATATACAAGATACATAGATACAATATATATATATACAAGATATACAATATACAAGATACATAGATACAATATATTATATATACAAGATATATACAAGATACTTAGAACTTTTCTGGAATATTTTGGGCTAAGTATAATATTTTTACTGAAATCATTTTGTATAACTTGCGAGAATTGCGAGTAACAGTAGCGCACATTTTAAAAAGAATTTTCGTAAATATACAGGGTGTTACAATATTCCGTGGACATAGAACTACTACTCGTACGTATTTTTGAAATCAACATAAGTTCATTAGTGACTCGTTGACCCGTTAGAGGGCATCAAACCAGTGGCGGCTCGTGAGTATATAGGAAGGTGACGCTATATTAGGTTAATAATTTTGTTTAAATACGAATAAATTTTCTCACCTATGAAGTATTATTCTGCGACGCGTTATTCTTTTTTTTTAATGGTACCAAACCTATTAGGTTGCCTTGCCTCTTATCGTTAAATATTGCGAAAATTTTTGACTCCTTAATATTTATTTATCTTTTTTCAGTTTCATTTTGTCTTAGAAAAGGAGCTTCAAGTATAGAAAGAATAACGTTATAAATAGGGATTTATTTTAAAGAAAACACTAAAATTCAACTTCCCTTCAGTACTTTAAAATAAATAAAATAAATCTTACCGGCGAAGAAAAGCCTAACCTTTAAATTTCAACAATATTTGTTACGTCTTTTTTTTGAAAAACTGCTAAAATTCCACCTTACCTATGTGTAGTCGAGTTAAAAATACTGTATCTAATAGCCACCAAATAATTTAAATTTATAAACACAAACAATCTAAATAATTCTCGCCCCTAAATGTCTATACGCCCTAAATATACGCTAATTAATTCACCCACGCTGTTCTCACCACAATCGGCCAGCCATCGGCACTTTAACTTTCAGAGTCATGCATACGAGATCGAGACTTTGTCGCATTTTTCAATAGTCAGATGATTTAAACTACCAATGAAAACACACCCAAGCGCCAAATATCGCGCCTCAACCCTGCGATCGAGAATACGTACCCCGTCACGTCGGCCGTCGCGCAGTGGCGGCTCGTCAGGGGGTAGGCAAGGTAGGCGGCGCCTACCCTACAATTTTGTCATATTTTTTTTACATTATAATATTTATCTTTATTAATGTTGCCAATACATATATAAATACTATTAATACACGGAAATGAGTTGTAACAATAATTAATATTAATTTAATATATTTGTAGTCTTTTATATTAATATATTAATTACCGCTGGCGTATACAGCAAAATGATTTTGACCGTTGGTCAAAATGCATTCATCTTTGTTCGGCGATTTCTGACATCGCCTTTCAAATTAAATTTTGATCTCTCACTCAGCCGTCGATGTGTCTGTCTTTTGTCTCTCTCTAATTCATCGTTCGGTAGCGATGACTACGTCGAATTAAGGCGGGGTTTAGGCGATATCTTCGGTCGCCTCGGCATGCGCGTGGAGCTCGATATCGATAGGTTTTAGAAATTCGGTGGTTTCCATAGTATATTATTCATCATACGTTATCGGTATTTAAAACTTTAAAATATTTTTTTTAATTTTTCAACTCCCTATTACTGACTTGAATTATTGCGTACAGTGTATTTGGTGTTCCTGTTAGTGCACAGTGCATTTGGATGTTAATTTCTAAGTTAACAAGGAGGATATACGGATAAGCGGGATAAGTATTAATTTAGATTAAAATTTGGAGTAATTAATGTGGATTTTCAATATGGATAATCCAATTCATGCAATTTATGCGACGTATACAATACATTCATAATTCATACCATTTACAAGTATTTCGGTTGAGAGACATTTTTCATATTTGAAACGCATTAAAAATTACACTAAAAATTCAATGAAAAATGAACTTTTATCCGGTTTATCGTCATTTGCCTTACTTTCAATCGAAAAAGATATTTTCATAGACCTTCAACAATCTGATAGCATTACTGATATAATAATAAACTTATTATTATTAAGAGATCGGCGAATCAATTTAGTATATAAAAAGTAATTATTCTTTTCATTTGTTTATGAGTCTCGAAATATGTATAGATATATAGATAGATAGATAGATAATGCTTTATTTATTTCCTTATTGTATAATACAAAAAGAAACCCAAAAAAGGGCATGGAAACAATGTTAGTAAAAATTTTTAAAAGAAAATAACTGCATATTTCAACAAAAAATGTAACTATCTGAACAAAAATAAATAGTAATATTAAAATTAAATATTTTATGAGTAAGTATTTATAATAATAATGAATTAAATCTATGTATGTATAGACAGATAACAACACAAAATTATACTTACAATAAATAACAAATTTAGATCAAATGATACAAAACAAAAGTAAAAACATACGGGTGTGGTTGTTTTTACAACAATATACAATCGATGGTTAAATATGACACAGGGCGCTCTTATCACTGTTTAGAAATTCCGCGAGGGAATAAAAAGGTTCTTCTTACAGTGCCATACTCTATATATAGAGCGTCGGCGACCTCTCGCATGTACTTGTGATGTGTGTCATCAGTGTTTCACAAGTACACGGGACCTACGGTTTATTGCCGAATCCGAACGGCACTATTTGAGAGTCTGTACAAGGCAAATATACTCAAGGTGGTTTGCCATTGCCTTCCTTGAGGTGGCGGCTCGTTGGTCGATCTATTTAGATAAATAAATATTTTTATTTAAATAAATAAAGCGACCGTACTGGCTGGGGATCGAACCCAGTACCTCCCGCTCCGCAGATCGACACACTAACGCTGGAGCTACGGTCGGCCACAATAAAAAGCTCCTCTGCATAAAAAGATGTTTAAGCATTTTTTAACTTTGTTTTTAGGCATAGACAAGGTAAAGTTTTCCGGAAGGGAATTGAATATTTTTATTAGAGAGTAATCTATATTTTTTTGAAGATAGCTGAAATTATATTTATCCGAAACCAGCTGTAATCTGTGTCTAGTATCATATTCATGTTCGAGCCTACGGTGTCCAAATAAATTCCAGTTTTCCAGGACAAACACCACAGCCTCCAAAATATACATTGAAACAACTGTAAGAACGTTATATTCAACAAAAATCTCCCTGCAGCTTTCTTGCTGACTCAATCCGAAGACACTACGTAAGCATTTTTTCTGTATTCGTAATATCCCTTCCACCCCCGTGGAGTTGCCCCAAAAAATAATACCATACTTAAATCTGGAATAGATAAAAGCATAGTAAGCTGACATAGCAGCATGGATCCCCACGGACCCCGATATTACTCTCAGCGCATAGCAGAACTGAGAAGTTTTAGATGCCTTCAATATGGTGAAGCCAATCCAAACGTCTATCGATCGTTAAACCAAGAAATGAAACGCTATTTACTGAACATATTTCCTGTTGCTCGTGCTGGAGGATAAAGGGAATTGAGTATCGATTGCTAAATAACATACACTGTCTCTTGGATATATTGAGAGATAGTCCAATAGAGTGAAAATACTTCGACAAATCGGACACAGCCAATGGGACTCTGGTTGAGAGTGAAAGGACATCACTTGCACTGAAAAGCACAGTCGTATCATCAGCATATAATACTGTTTGTTCCTGAATAATGAATAAGATAATCTGTTTTTCTTTGTAAATTTATTTGTCTAATTTGTCTTTGTAAATATATTTACTTATTGTTAAGCTACGTAAATAAATAAAAATAAAATAAAATTCTATGATGAACTGCATGGTACTATTACCTACCTTATTTATCAAGCATTAGCATTTAGCATGCTATCTGAGGAAATAAATAAAACACACATATCCATTATGTTAATCATTATCTCATTATGTTGAATGCTGTTACTTTAGTTTTATCCTAAATATTCTTAAGCTATATTTTAGCCCATAAGCTAACATATTGGTTTTTACGAACTGGGTTAAGATATTATGTAAATTTTGGGGAACAAATAGATGTAATTAACATTTTGTCGCCTACCCAGTCCCACAGGCCACGAGCCGCCACTGCCGTCGCGTCACCGGCATCACGGTAATTCGAACTTTCCAAGCTAGAATTGTTTCGCCTCTCTGTGCCTCTGTCAAGTCGCGTTCTTTTTGGCTGGGTTTACGCGGCTTCTATTGTGCCTGGATGTATTTATAAAATATATATCTTTTAGTTTTATTATGTTGAATGTCTTGTAGAATTGTAATAAGTTATAGGTACTGGTATTAAATAAAAAACTAGATACAAAAAAATAAATCGTTCCTTCATTTTAAAGGTGAGGTGCGGCCTCCAAGGCCTACCCTGACGAGCCGCCACTGCATCAAACTTTAAAAAATAAACACATTTTTTAAGATATTTTAAGAACCGTTATTCCGATTTGAATGAGATTTGGGGTGTAATGTCATAATCAAGAGGGCTACTCTAACTGTGTTATAAAAATAAGGTAATCGTTGACTTTTTAAGTTTTTATTGTGCATTTGATTTTTTTGAAAAAACTCACAATGTTCGTTAAATTGTCAGACAGCGCCCCATAGCGTCTACGTTCAAAAGCTTATTATTATTGTTTATATGGTATAATATAGAGTAAGAAACGCTCTTTTAAACGAGCCCTCGTTTGTTGGATTCCGTTCATCCAATCCGGAGTTATTAATATTTAAATAAAAATAGATCTAACCAACCCCCACTACTTATTTATTTTGGCAGATAGATGAAAATCTAACAAAAAATATTCAAACCCCTTATTAACTCCATTTTCATATTTTTATAGCAGTTGCGCCCTCTAGCGGCCGTTCTACAAATTTCCGCCATTTTTCATGGCTAGTTATAAATATTTTTTTTCCGCAGGCCCTACGGCTAATACATTCCGAGATACAGCCGAGAACTATTCTTAGTGGGACACCATGTATATTAAATTCTACATTTTTTTCTTCCAGAACTGACTTTGTCATAACAGAAGAAAGTGGGAACTACAAACACTGGAAATATACGACAGAATACGTCGAGAAGCTATCTCACTGGCCGTATTTGCCTAATTATTCCACGGCACACTTCGAAATAAAAGCAACGACGAATATGGACAAGTATTTTATCAATTCTTACCATCGAACTTGCATGTTTAACGGATTGTATTGTCGTAAGTTAATGAAAAACTTTATTTATCCATTTTTTTAATAAATTCCTTTGAATAAAAAGGTTAAGGAAGGAACATAAAAAAACTTATGTGGAGCGAAATGGGGGATTAATATGGCCGAACTTAAGAGTCTATTACGCTGTACTGTTCGGGTCGCTCTCGGGGGTCGGGGAAAGCGGGTGTGTGGCCGAAGAAAATATATTTATATTATATTTCAGAAATCTCCTTAAAGCTTAGCCCGATCCTGTCGTGTTAAGCCACACCTAAAATTTCAAACACACGTGCTTTAATTAAGGCTTGCAGAGCTTCAGAATTTGCCATAAAATAACGAGCAATTTGTTACAAAACCATATAAATTATATATCACTGTAATTACAAAACTTTACTCTATTTCTGTATTGTAACGGAATTTTAAATTATGTCTTTATTTTCGAGACAATCGGAATATTTTGTTGATGTTTGACCGTCAAAATCTTAAAAATAAAGTTGTCTAAAAATCTGCTACAATACGGATATAGTACATATAATCATTTATCTTTAGTTTCCTTCTTCATTTGTGTAAATATACCTAGCCAGTTTTACATAAAACGCTAAATGCCGAACGTATTTTGCTACTTTTTCAGACTAGTGGAGCGCCACGGGGGCTTAATATGGTTGACTTAAATTCCTCTGTTTATCAGTGCCGTCCTAATTTTATTTAAAACGTGTAAAAATATAATGCAGGGTAGATCCAATAATTTGTTGGTTTTTGTTTACGTTTTCAATAAATGTTATTAGTTATTAAAATTGTTAAAAAATATATTTCTAATAAAAATAGATAGGTTATAATAAATATTTAATAATAAAAATATCAGTTACGCTATTGCAACACTTCATAAGTCAAATAGACGAAGAAGTCTTATATTTTATTTTTGACAAGTTGTAAATAAAATCGCTACAAATCTTAAAAATAAAAAATAAAACTTAAATTCAAAATGTGTAAATTGAAACTTTAAAGAGAACTGTTAAAAACGGGGATGGATATCATTATACAGGGTGAGTCTTGAATAAAAGTGCAAATATTTTTAGGAGTAGTATATTTCGACCCCGGGAACATGATTATGAGTTTGTTTTTCCCGAAAAAGAAATTGAAAATTGGGATTTTTTTGGAATTTTTATTTAAAAAACAACTCCTTCATAATACGGCAACATAGGTAGTAGATTAAATTTACAAGAAAGAAAATCCAGAAAAGATCCAGTGGTTCTCAAAATTTAAGCAAAAAATAATTTTTGTTGAAATTTTCAAAGTAAAAATAAATCGGTTATTTTGGATTTATTTGAAAAACGCATGAAAAACGGTAAAGAGAAAATATTGTCAAGGTGTATGTGGCGCCATCTGTCGGAGAAGCGAGAATCTAAACCGCAACGTGTATTGCTGGTTGAGGATTATCTGAGAACATTGTTGAGGCGCCATCTCTTAACCAAGTAGAAAAGTAAGCGAATCAAGCGCCAGAATTTACTAGTAGGAGGCAGAATGTACCGATAATTTTAGAAGGTTCCAGAAACAGTCAGTAGAGTATAAAAAGGCGCGCGATCGACAGTTGAGCCAGTTTGAAATTTGTAAATACACCGTTTTAAACGGTGAATCGTGACAATTTGGCGAAGAATTTTTTAAATAGTTAATTGTGTGTTGTAATCAGTATAAATTGTGTGTAAATAGTGAGAAAATAAATTAGTTAAGTATTTAATCGTGAGTTTAAATTAGTGGACCCACGGAATTCATAACAATATGTTTCTTTTATCGACATCTACCAGCCCTGAAAATATTTGCACTTATTTAAGACTCACCCTGTATATAGAATGTAGAATGTTTGGGAGGGGGGTTAATCACTGCGACCTCACAGATCGATTGTGTGTCCCCCTTTTTTGAATTATAACGAGTTATATCTTATCATACAGTCTCAGGACTTTGAGAAAAGCCAGTATCTGAGATAGCTTCACAGAGGCTAGTTTCCATCTCCGATATCAGTCGTAACAAAGTTGGTTGTCAGATGGTTGTCGTCTTGGCGCAGTCAGTGATGAGGTATTCTGGGGTTTTCCCATTTTCACCACAGAATCTTCATTCGCCTTTGTGTCTTAGCTTCAATCTACTGAGGTGTTCGATGAGGACACAGAATAAGTGTCCTGTTAAAACCTCCGTGACAATCCGAAGATTGTTCTTACTTAAATCAAGGAAAATCTGTTGTTATAATGTATTAGAAAACATTTGGCGGGAAAAATAATACAAACGAACGTACTCTCATGAGCATCAGCTAACGACTGCCTTTATTATACCAAAGCCAAATATATACGTTATAAAACAATGTTGCCACTTATTTTCCTAACCTTTGAGATTATATTTACAACACCCCCACTATCTCAAATAGTTAAGAGGTAAAACCCAGTTTCTTAACAAAATAAGAATGCTTAATTCTAGCTAAACCCTTCGTTAATATATCTGCTACCATTTCATCAGTTTGTTGGTAATGGATTGTTATCATTCCGTTTGTAATACATTCTCTAACAAAATGATAGCGTACATCAATATGTTTTGTTCGCTTATGGAACAATGGATTCAAAGCAAGTTTTTGTGCACTCTGATTGTCATTATATATTGTAACACTATCGTGAAAATCAATTATTTCACCTAGAATATTTTTCAAATAAACTGCTTCTTTTGAAGCCTCGCTAAGACCTATATATTCTGCCTCAGTACTGCTTAATGCAACAGTTCTTTGTTTACAACTTTGCCAAGAAATAGACCCACCACATAGTTTAAATACATATCCTGTGTATGATTTCCTATCACAATCATTAGCCCAATCAGAATCCACAAAACCTTCTAAATCAAAATGATCACTAACATTTGAAAACTCTAATCTATAACCTTTTGTACCTTTTAAATACCTAAGTACTCTCTTAGCACACTGCCAATGATATTCTGAAAAATTATTGTTAAATTGACTTAAATAATTTACAGCAAATGTAATGTCCGGTCGAGTAAGCACAGCTAAATACATTAAGCTTCCTATGAGCTGTTGATAAGGTAAATTACATAAGTTTTTACTTGAATTAACAATTTTTTCAACATTAGCTTTACTTTCCATAGGAGTACTAACTACATTACAATTTTCCATTCCAAAAGATTTTAAAACTTTGTCAATATAGTTTTCCTGATCTAAAAAAATAGCATTTCTTTTATAATCTCTAGTTAGCCTAACACCAAGACATTGTTTAGCTTCGCCTAGATCTTTTATGTCAAATTCTAAACTCAACTTTGATTTTAAATTATCAACATTTTTAGAATTATCGGAAAAAACAAAAAAATCGTCCACATATAACGCTACTAAAGTTAATGAATTTTTGTCTCTTTTAATGAATAAACAAGGTTCATGTTGTGAATGTTTATAACCCATTTTTGACAAAACTTCATTCACTCTTGCATTCCAAGCTCTGGACGCCTGTTTTAGCCCATAAACAGCCTTCTTTAAACGGTATACCTTATTCTCTTGATTTTTAACAACAAATCCTTCAGGTTGTTTCATATATACTGGTTGATCAAGTACACCATTTAAAAACGCTGCCTTTACATCAAGATGTGTAATTTTCAAATTTAACTTGACTGCTAATGCAATCAACAGTCGCAAAGTAGAATGTCTTACTACTGGAGAAAACACGTCACTGTAATCCACACCCGCTTTTTGTACACAACCTTTCGCCACTAAACGCGCGCGATGTTTTACGTCTCCGTTTTCACTGGTTTTGCGTTTGAAAACCCACTTGCATGGAACAACAGTTGAAGAGTCAGGTAAGTTGTCCACTAATTCCCAAGCTTCATTATCTTCAAAGCACTGAATCTCTTCACACATTGCTTCTTTCCATAGCTTAGCATCGTAACTTGCCATAGCTTCTTTCACAGTGATTGGATCATCATAAGAAGTTATCATTGCATCATCGTTAGGATTTTCTTCTTGTATGCAAACATAAGTTACATAGTCTTCAAACTGCATAGGTTTTTTAATTCTTTGAGATTTTCTTACTTCCACACATTCTTCTGTTGGTAGTTCTGTAATAAAATCTTCATCGCTGGATGAAATGATTGACTCAGCATCACTAAAAGATTCATCAGTCGAGTTATCTGGCTGACTGACCTCAGCCCCCACTGAATCTGATACTTCTTGTAGTTCATATTCTATGTTTCTTGGTTTTCTTATGCTTTCTTCAATTACTACGTCTCTGCTGATTATTATTTTCTGTCTTATCGGATCATACAGTCTATAGCCTTTTATATTGTCACTATACCCAACTAAAAACATTTTTTCAGACTTTTTATCCCATTTCTGTCTTTTCTCTTTTGGTACAAGTGTCATGGTTTTGCTACCAAAAATTCGTATTCCACTTACATCTGGCCTCTTGTTGAACCACATTTCATATGGAGTTTTCTTCAATCCTGACACTACAGATCGATTTCTGAGATAAACAGCTGTTGCTACAGCTTCCGCCCAAAATTTTTTTTCAAGTTCTGCGTCATATAACAAACAACGAGCTTTTTCCACTATGGTTCTATTCATCCGTTCACTCATACCATTTTGCTGCGGAGTATAAGCATTTGTTTGCTGATGCAAAATTCCTTGATTCTTATAATACTCTTGAAAAAACTTCCCATCAAACTCTGTCCCTTGATCAGTACGAAAAACTTTTATTCGTTCACCTTTTTGATTTTCTACATATTCTTTAAACTCCTTGAATTTTTCAAAAGCTTCATCTTTACTTTTAAGAAAATATGTAAACACCATTCTCGTATAGTCATCTTCTAATATCATAAAATATCTTGAGCCCCCTATAGATGTCACTTCCATCGGACCGCATAAGTCCCCATGAATAACTTCTAAAATAGATTTTGCTCTATTGCCCTTATGATTAAACGGTAGTCTCATTTGCTTACCTTGACAACAGATTTCGCAAATGCCTGAGTCACTTTGTGA